CCCGCTGGCAGCTATCGTGGCACTAGGCTGCGCACCCAATGTGCACGACTAATGCTACGTGCAGCTCATCTATTCTTTGGAGCATGGGGGGTTGTAGTACTAGGACTACACATTCACGCGTCTATGCAGCCAACACTAAGTCAGTGCTTACTACAAGTTCGACCGTGGGCAACATCACGTCCATCCTGTTACTTAGTCGGTCTTGATTGCCACACGTTGGCAATCTCGGGGGAAATGAACGAAGTGGAGGAGAGTTGGAGTGAATTCGACAGCTCTACTGTCGTTCAACTTCTCATTCGCCACTGTCCGACGTTAGAGATCCCACCTTCCATTAGCAAGTTCCACAGTCTTCATGGCGTCAAAGTGTACAACTCGACAATCGTCGACTGGGATGACTCAGCTGCATTCACGAGTGAGAACCACCCAAACGTTTTATCACTGTACCTTGTCCGTGTCAACATGACCGACGGTGTGTTGCCTGCTGGATTGCACTCGCTCGATTTCCCGCCCAATCTTCGCGATATCGAGTTCTGCGTCACAAACCTGCAGGCGATTCCACAAGATCTCGACCTCAAGTGGCCCCGGAACGCACAAATACAGTTCGAGTACAGCCAGTTGACGAGCATTCCTTCAGAACTCCTTCGGCTCGAACCGGAATACTTGTTTGTTACTGGCAATCCGATGACTATAGTTTCGGCCGAGGTGTTCGAGATTCCAGGGCTCCAAACCTTGGGACTCGGACATATGAATCTCAATGAGCTACCGCGCAACGTGACAAGTCCTTCTCCAACACTTAGCGTTGTTTTCCTTGACAAGACTAACATTTCCTTCTTCTGGCCATGGATGGACGATATCATGATGAAGACGTGGGGTACCGGTTTCCTGGTAGCTTCTGCCACTCCGTACTGCAGCGATTTCGAGATGATTCAGCAAGGCACAGCAAGTGCATTTAACACGTCTCCATCCCGAGACTACGAACCCATGCTAATGGACCCGTCCCAAGCAAACATACCACCAGTCTCAGAGGTTGTTGTTTGTGATGTCAGCATGGTGGCCACGTGCTACTTCATCGATATCGACGACGAAAGCATGGCCATCAGTCCCCCACATGCTCTACATGTAGTAAGCCCATAAATTTAATAAATAGTTAAGGAGGCTTCTTTTTAACTTTCGTTAGTACACCACTTTCCTACGAGCGCATATGTATGTACCTTACCCAGGGGCTAATGGTAATATGATATTTTTGATAGTAATAGTAGTATTTTCGATATTAAATAGTAACTCATTTTTGCAAAAGTTAACATAATATTTTAATATTAACTCGGAGAATTAATTATTATTAGATACTACTTAATATTTTATGATATATTCCCACTTAACTACGTTTCTTGCCACCTTCAAATACCTTTTTCGATCAGGTTCTAGAAAAGCAGTAATTTTTTAAGACTGACGAGTATTTGCTCGAGTATTTGCTCTTGTATTTCACTGTGACACAGACAAAGGCGATCGCTCTCACAATTGTCCCTCCCTCACGGTTGACTAGTAATATTTCAGCTAGTCGAGCGTTACCGACATCTGATTGGTTAATTTAACCCGATTACGCAACCTTTAATAAATAAAATATCGTATTAGCTAATATTAAGATGATATTTAATAACTTCATATTGTCTCAGAAGAAAATATTAGGTGATATTTTTTATATTAACTGGTCTACAGGTGATATTTTCATAATATTAACTTCACCGATTTTGGAGTTACCATTAACCCCTGTCCTTACTTCAGACAGAGGCAAGCAAATGAATAGGACCAAAACGGCAAATTTGGTCGGAGTTTGCTTTCAGTAACGGCTCAAGGTCACCGACGAAGGGTCCTTGAGAAAACCATGTCACGACTCAACCTGAAGACCCCCACGGAAGTCGTCAAACTCTCGTATTGGAGTTTCGCTCTCTGGTGGCTCATCATTCTCACTGTTCATGTGGTCGCGTGCATCTACACTGCGCTGTATAGCTACTCGTACTGGGTGCTGCAGGAAGCGTACCTAAACGCGTACCTCGAAAGCTTCGAGATCGGAATGCCGCAACCGTATCACCGCACAATCGTCGCCGTCCATGCCACGTTGTCTGCGTTGCATGCAGTTTCCATCATGCTAATGCTAGGCGGCTCTGTTTGGCAGAAATCTCTTGCCTTTACTCCGTGGTCTACTTGCAATGTCAAGGGTAAAAACGATGAAGTGAAGTCTGATCGAACGAACTCGATAGTGCTGCAGAGCTTTACGAAAGTCTACGCTAAGGTTGTGGATCGTCATGGATTTTTCGGCGTCAACGGTGTCCATTTTCATGTAATTCTCGCCATTCGAGAAGTCATTGAGACAACGCTGCAGACGATCCAAGCTTACCGCATGAGCTTGCTATTGCCAAGAACGCTGCTCAATCGATTCTACGTCATTTTGCTCGTGGTAAATTGCTGGTCTTCTGTCCTAGTCTACTCTGTGCTTTTCAAGGGTGACGAGGCTAGTAGACGCTTTGCGTGTATCGTCTTGGATTGCGTGCTGGACCTCGTAGCGTCCATGGGTGTAGAGCTCATAATTGTACTTAGCTACGCGAAAGATTACGATCTCAATATGATGGGCTTCTGGGACTACATGTGGCGCGACGATGAGTGGGCAGCGCGAGCTCTCAATGAATTTCGAATGGTCGTCGTAGTGTCTTGGTCGGATCTCGCAAGTCGTGCCATCTTTTCTTTGGGTCTGATACTTACGACCACAAATATGAAGGAGTTGCTGCAGTGGCTGCCTCAACGAAGAAATCGGGTTGCAGAGTCACCAAGTCTGACGACTGTCGTGGAACAATTTAAGAGTGACAAATTGAACACAGTTGCCCCCGCACCGTCCAACGCAATACTTCCTAGCAAAAACATGCCCGCTAAAACCCGAGACAGCTACCGTGGAACTAAGTTGCGTACCCATTGTGCTCGACTCATGCTGCGTGGGGTTCATCTCTTCTTTGGAGCATGGGGTATTGCCGTGCTTGCGCTGCACATTTATGCTTCCGTACAGCCGACGCTACCTCAATGCCTGATGCAAGTGAGGCCGTGGGCAACGTCTCGGCCATCCTGTTACTTGGTCGCTCTTGATTGCCATTCCTTAAAAATTGGAGGCAAGATGAACGAGGTGGAAGACAAGTGGAGCGAGTTTGAGCGCTCCACTGTCGTTCAGCTCCGCATCCTCCATTGTCCTGCATTAGAGATCCCACCATCCATTGGCAACTTCAATGCACTTCATGGCGTCAAGGTGTATAACTCTACAATTGTCGAGTGGGGCGAGGCGGCTGCATTCACGAGTGTGAACCACCCGAACATGCGGTCGCTTTATCTGGTCCGAGTCAACATGACTGACGGCGTGTTGCCTGCTGGATTTCACTCGAGAAATTTTCCACTGAACCTCCACGACTTCGAGTTCTGCGTGACAAACCTGCGTGCAGTGCCCGATGACCTTGACCTTAAGTGGCCCCGGAAAGCAACGATACTGCTTGAGTATAGCCAACTAACAAGCATCCCTCCGGTACTTGTGCGACTCGAACCCCAATTCTTGGCTTTCACAGCTAGCCCGATAACACAAGTCCCTGCAGAGGTGTTTGAAATCCCAGGGCTCCGAACTCTGGGACTCGGACAGCTAAATATCGACAAACTACCGCGTAATGTGACGAATCCGTCTCCGTCACTTAACACGATCTTTCTCGAAGGGACAAACATTTCCTTCTTTTGGCCCTGGATGGACGACCTAATAACAATGGAGACGTGGGGTATCCTAGTCGCTCCCCTTACTCCGTACTGCGTTGATCTCGAGAAAATCCGAAGTGGCGTGGCAGATGCGTACAGCTCTTCATCCTCTGACTATGCACCCATTCTCATGGATCCATCCGGAGCCAATGAATTTCCAGTCGATTACGCTGTCTCCTGTGATCCCACTTGGCTAGGCACATACTATTATATCGACCTCGATGACGAGAACATGGCCATAAGTCCTGCCCCTGCACTAGTAAGACCGAGCGTTTAAAAAACATACTAAAACTCTTCATGTCGCTAGCTTTTTTCATTAAAATATTAAGAAAATCACAGCGCCTGGGCGTAGCTGTTCATGGCGATGGCCATGTCAATATCGTTCTGGGACAAACCGCCGCAGTCGTGGGTGCTGAGCGTCACGTCCACGCGGTTGTACACGTTAAACCACTCCGGGTGGTGGCCCATTTGCTCGGCTAGCAGCGCTGTTCGGTTCATGAAGCCCCAGGCCTCGTTGAAGTCACGGAACTCGAATTTGCGGCGAATGGCGTCACGGTTAGGCACCTCTTTCCAGGCGCTGGTGATCTGCTGGAAAGCAGCGGTACGTTGTTCCTCCGTCAGAAGCGTCGGGATGGCGCGTGTAGACATTCCACGGTGAAGCAGCGGCTTAGTGGGGAGCTTACGGAGCATGTGGAGAGTCATGCTTGTCAAACGGTGTTTTCAATAATGGCGGATATTGACACCGGAATGACGAGTTTTGACCAATGAAATTAGTGTTTGGACGCGTCGTTTGGCGGCGTCCAAACTTGGTGTAACGTTAGTGTAAAACTTGCTTAATTGCCGGAAGATAAGGTTGCGAATACATGTACTGAGGTGAAGACATGCAAGAGGATACGTGTCAATGATTACAGAGTGAAGACAGTGTTTCCATTCTGTCATGAGAGTCTAATTCTTGCGGTTCTTGCGCTTAAAAGCCTTAAGTTCCTTGCGGTAGGCGTCGCCGATCTGCGTCGACACCTTGCGCAAGTCCGTGAGACCGGAGCGCAGCGCTTCATCGGCAAGTGCGCCTGCAATACAACAGCAACAACAGCAGTGAGTCATTGCACCACTCAAATGGCGAGAGCTGCAGACTGCAGCTATACCTTGACGAGTCTGAAGACGGATGTGCATCTTGGGCTCTGACGGGTGCGGAATTGTGTAGCCACAGAAGTCAACTCATGCCCATGGCCTCCACGGAATTCGTTCAGCTTTCGTATTGGGGGTTTACAGTCTGGTGGTTCATCATCCTCTGCGTTCACGTAGTCGCTTGTGTCTACACTGCGCTGTACAGCTACGCTTACTGGATACTTCAGAACACCTATCTCGAGCACTACCTCGAGCTGTTCGAGATTGGTATGCCACCGCCATATCACCGCACCATAGTCATTGTCCATGCTATACTGTTTGCATTGCACGCGGTGTGCATCCTCCTGATGCTTGGTGGCTCTGTATGGCAGCGGTCTTTTGCCTTTTCGCCATGGTCTTGTGACACCAGCCCAAGAAACACCCGCCTGAACTCAGATCGCTCAAATTCCATTGTAATGCAAAGTTTCACGAAAGTTTATACCAAGATTTCTGATCGCCATGGATTTTTCGGGGTCAATGGAGCTCACTTTCATGTACTGCTCATACTTCGAGAAGTTGTTGAGACAGGGTTGCAAACCATCCAAGCTTACCGCACGAGCTCGTTGTTGCCAAGAACGATGCTTAACCGGTTTTACGTGGTTTTACTAGTGGCGAATTGTTGGTCGTCTGTCCTGGTCTACTCTGTGTTTTTCAAGGGCGACGAGGCAAGTAGGCGATTCGCATGTATCGTCTTAGATTGTGTCCTGGACTTGATCTCCTGTGTGGGTGTGGAGCTCATGATTGTGCTAAGCTATGCAAGTGACTACAACGTAAGTGTGATGGGATTCTGGGACTTCATGTGGCAAAACGATGAGTGGGCAGCGCGAGCTTTAAATGAATTTCGGATGGTCTTCGTGGTCTCTTTGTCGGATTTGGCAAGTCGCGCCATCTTCTCACTGGGTCTAATACTTACAACCACAAATATGAAGGAATTGCTGCAATGCCTTCCACAACAGAGGTGCCATAAAATTGCAAGCCTGGATACTGAGAATGACCAAACCAGGGGTGAAAAATCTACGACTATTGTTCCCACGCTACCACAACAGCCAAATCTCAAGCCTTCAGAGCTGGTAATGCCCATTAAACCCGCTGGCAGCTATCGTGGCACTAGGCTGCGCACCCAATGTGCACGACTAATGCTACGTGCAGCTCATCTATTCTTTGGAGCATGGGGGGTTGTAGTACTAGGACTACACATTCACGCGTCTATGCAGCCAACACTAAGTCAGTGCTTACTACAAGTTCGACCGTGGGCAACATCACGTCCATCCTGTTACTTAGTCGGTCTTGATTGCCACACGTTGGCAATCTCGGGGGAAATGAACGAAGTGGAGGAGAGTTGGAGTGAATTCGACAGCTCTACTGTCGTTCAACTTCTCATTCGCCACTGTCCGACGTTAGAGATCCCACCTTCCATTAGCAAGTTCCACAGTCTTCATGGCGTCAAAGTGTACAACTCGACAATCGTCGACTGGGATGACTCAGCTGCATTCACGAGTGAGAACCACCCAAACGTTTTATCACTGTACCTTGTCCGTGTCAACATGACCGACGGTGTGTTGCCTGCGGGATTGCACTCGCTCGATTTCCCGCCCAATCTTCGCGATATCGAGTTCTGCGTCACAAACCTGCAGGCGATTCCACAAGATCTCGACCTCAAGTGGCCCCGGAACGCACAAATACAGTTCGAGTACAGCCAGTTGACGAGCATTCCTTCAGAACTCCTTCGGCTCGAACCGGAATACTTGTTTGTTACTGGCAATCCGATGACTATAATTTCGGCCGAGGTGTTCGAGATTCCAGGGCTCCAAACCTTGGGACTCGGACATATGAATCTCAATGAGCTACCGCGCAACGTGACAAGTCCTTCTCCAACACTTAGCGTTGTTTTCCTTGACAAGACTAACATTTCCTTCTTCTGGCCATGGATGGACGATATCATGATGAAGACGTGGGGTACCGGTTTCCTGGTAGCTTCTGCCACTCCGTACTGCAGCGATTTCGAGATGATTCAGCAAGGCACAGCAAGTGCATTTAACACGTCTCCATCCCGAGACTACGAACCCATGCTAATGGACCCGTCCCAAGCAAACATACCACCAGTCTCAGAGGTTGTTGTTTGTGATGTCAGCATGGTGGCCACGTGCTACTTCATCGATATCGACGACGAAAGCATGGCCATCAGTCCCCCACATGCTCTACATGTAGTAAGCCCATAAATTTAATAAATAGTTAAGGAGGCTTCTTTTTAACTTTCGTTAGTACACCACTTTCCTACGAGCGCATATGTATGTACCTTACTCAGGGGCTAATGGTAATATGATATTTTTGATAGTAATAGTAGTATTTTCGATATTAAATAGTAACTCATTTTTGCAAAAGTTAACATAATATTTTAATATTAACTCGGAGAATTAATTATTATTAGATACTACTTAATATTTTATGATATATTCCCACTTAACTACGTTTCTTGCCACCTTCAAATACCTTTTTCGATCAGGTTCTAGAAAAGCAGTAATTTTTTAAGACTGACGAGTATTTGCTCGAGTATTTGCTCTTGTATTTCACTGTGACACAGACAAAGGCGATCGCTCTCACAATTGTCCCTCCCTCACGGTTGACTAGTAATATTTCAGCTAGTCGAGCGTTACCGACATCTGATTGGTTAATTTAACCCGATTACGCAACCTTTAATAAATAAAATATCGTATTAGCTAATATTAAGATGATATTTAATAACTTCATATTGTCTCAGAAGAAAATATTAGGTGATATTTTTTATATTAACTGGTCTACAGGTGATATTTTCATAATATTAACTTCACCGATTTTGGAGTTACCATTAACCCCTGTCCTTACTTCAGACAGAGGCAAGCAAATGAATAGGACCAAAACGGCAAATTTGGTCGGAGTTTGCTTTCAGTAACGGCTCAAGGTCACCGACGAAGGGTCCTTGAGAAAACCATGTCACGACTCAACCTGAAGACCCCCACGGAAGTCGTCAAACTCTCGTATTGGAGTTTCGCTCTCTGGTGGCTCATCATTCTCACTGTTCATGTGGTCGCGTGCATCTACACTGCGCTGTATAGCTACTCGTACTGGGTGCTGCAGGAAGCGTACCTAAACGCGTACCTCGAAAGCTTCGAGATCGGAATGCCGCAACCGTATCACCGCACAATCGTCGCCGTCCATGCCACGTTGTCTGCGTTGCATGCAGTTTCCATCATGCTAATGCTAGGCGGCTCTGTTTGGCAGAAATCTCTTGCCTTTACTCCGTGGTCTACTTGCAATGTCAAGGGTAAAAACGATGAAGTGAAGTCTGATCGAACGAACTCGATAGTGCTGCAGAGCTTTACGAAAGTCTACGCTAAGGTTGTGGATCGTCATGGATTTTTCGGCGTCAACGGTGTCCATTTTCATGTAATTCTCGCCATTCGAGAAGTCATTGAGACAACGCTGCAGACGATCCAAGCTTACCGCATGAGCTTGCTATTGCCAAGAACGCTGCTCAATCGATTCTACGTCATTTTGCTCGTGGTAAATTGCTGGTCTTCTGTCCTAGTCTACTCTGTGCTTTTCAAGGGTGACGAGGCTAGTAGACGCTTTGCGTGTATCGTCTTGGATTGCGTGCTGGACCTCGTAGCGTCCATGGGTGTAGAGCTCATAATTGTACTTAGCTACGCGAAAGATTACGATCTCAATATGATGGGCTTCTGGGACTACATGTGGCGCGACGATGAGTGGGCAGCGCGAGCTCTCAATGAATTTCGAATGGTCGTCGTAGTGTCTTGGTCGGATCTCGCAAGTCGTGCCATCTTTTCTTTGGGTCTGATACTTACGACCACAAATATGAAGGAGTTGCTGCAGTGGCTGCCTCAACGAAGAAATCGGGTTGCAGAGTCACCAAGTCTGACGACTGTCGTGGAACAATTTAAGAGTGACAAATTGAACACAGTTGCCCCCGCACCGTCCAACGCAATACTTCCTAGCAAAAACATGCCCGCTAAAACCCGAGACAGCTACCGTGGAACTAAGTTGCGTACCCATTGTGCTCGACTCATGCTGCGTGGGGTTCATCTCTTCTTTGGAGCATGGGGTATTGCCGTGCTTGCGCTGCACATTTATGCTTCCGTACAGCCGACGCTACCTCAATGCCTGATGCAAGTGAGGCCGTGGGCAACGTCTCGGCCATCCTGTTACTTGGTCGCTCTTGATTGCCATTCCTTAAAAATTGGAGGCAAGATGAACGAGGTGGAAGACAAGTGGAGCGAGTTTGAGCGCTCCACTGTCGTTCAGCTCCGCATCCTCCATTGTCCTGCATTAGAGATCCCACCATCCATTGGCAACTTCAATGCACTTCATGGCGTCAAGGTGTATAACTCTACAATTGTCGAGTGGGGCGAGGCGGCTGCATTCACGAGTGTGAACCACCCGAACATGCGGTCGCTTTATCTGGTCCGAGTCAACATGACTGACGGCGTGTTGCCTGCTGGATTTCACTCGAGAGATTTTCCACTGAACCTCCACGACTTCGAGTTCTGCGTGACAAACCTGCGTGCAGTGCCCGATGACCTTGACCTTAAGTGGCCCCGGAAAGCAACGATACTGCTTGAGTATAGCCAACTAACAAGCATCCCTCCGGTACTTGTGCGACTCGAACCCCAATTCTTGGCTTTCACAGCTAGCCCGATAACACAAGTCCCTGCAGAGGTGTTTGAAATCCCAGGGCTCCGAACTCTGGGACTCGGACAGCTAAATATCGACAAACTACCGCGTAATGTGACGAATCCGTCTCCGTCACTTAACACGATCTTTCTCGAAGGGACAAACATTTCCTTCTTTTGGCCCTGGATGGACGACCTTATAACAATGGAGACGTGGGGTATCCTAGTCGCTCCCCTTACTCCGTACTGCGTTGATCTCGAGAAAATCCGAAGTGGCGTGGCAGATGCGTACAGCTCTTCATCCTCTGACTATGCACCCATTCTCATGGATCCATCCGGAGCCAATGAATTTCCAGTCGATTACGCTGTCTCCTGTGATCCCACTTGGCTAGGCACATACTATTATATCGACCTCGATGACGAGAACATGGCCATAAGTCCTGCCCCTGCACTAGTAAGACCGAGCGTTTAGATAACGTACTAAAACTCTTCATGTCGCTAGCTTTTTTCATTGAGATATTAAGAGAATCACAGCGCCTGGGCGTAGCTGTTCATGGCGATGGCCATGTCAATATCGTTCTGGGACAAACCGCCGCAGTCGTGGGTGCTGAGCGTCACGTCCACACGGTTGTACACGTTAAACCACTCCGGGTGGTGGCCCATTTGCTCGGCTAGCAGCGCTGTTCGGTTCATGAAGCCCCAGGCCTCGTTGAAGTCACGGAACTCGAATTTGCGGCGAATGGCGTCACGGTGAGGCACCTCTTCCCAGGCGCTGGTGATCTGCTGGAAAGCAGCGGTACGTTGTTCCTCCGTCAGAAGCGTCGGAATGGCGCGTGTAGACATTCCACGGTGAAGCAGCGGCTTTGTGGGGAGCTTACGGAGCATGTGGAGAGCCATGCTTGTCAAACGGTGTTGCGGATATTGACACCGGAATGACGAGTTTTGACCAATGAAATTAGTGTTTGGACGCGTCGTTTGGCGGCGTCCAAACTTGGTGTAACGTTAGTGTAAAACTTGCTTAATTGCCGGAAGATAAGGTTGCGAATACATGTACTGAGGTGAAGACATGCAAGAGGATACGTGTCAATGATTACAGAGTGAAGACAGTGTTTCCATTCTGTGATGAGAGTCTAATTCTTGCGGTTCTTGCGCTTAAAAGCCTTAAGTTCCTTGCGGTAGGCGTCGCCGATCTGCGTCGACACCTTGCGCAAGTCCGTGAGACCGGAGCGCAGCGCTTCATCGGCAAGTGCGCCTGCAATACAACAGCAACAACAACAGTGAGTCATTGCACCACTCAAATGGCGAGAGCTGCAGACTGCAGTTATACCTTGACGAGTCTGTAGACGGATGTGCATCTTGGGCTCTGACGGGTGCGGAATTGTGTAGCCACAGAAGTCAACGTCAGGGCTGCAAATTGACGCGATATTAAGATATTAGAGTTAGCAACAAAGCCAGCTTACTACCAAAAAGAAGCAACAGAGCTTGCTATCAACGGCAGTTATAAAATGTTGAGCACGTACTTGCGCATCAAGACATAGCGCACGGCATTGCCAAGCGTGTGGTCTTCCTCGTGAAACACGTAGGTCTTGGAGTAGTCGCTCGTGGTCGTGAACACGTCGAGTTTCTTCGCAGCGACGGCCATGGTTGTCTCGAGATTTAGTGACTGGTTGGACGAGTGTTGTGAAGTGTGTTTTGTACACAAACCATCTGTTTGAACTCTAAATTTCGTTGCTATTTTCGGGTCTTCTTCGAGAGAACACTGAGTGTTCCATCCTGACGGGTGGTGACCTCAAGGGCCTCTGAGGATGCCTGCTGGACATCAGGTCAGCTCGATGTCTGCACACGATACTAAGCTGTCACTATCGACTTGTGTGAGCTCGAAGAGTGCTCTGACAGCGGAGATATCCAGTGACAACCAGGAGATCATGGACGCCGAAGACTACATTACCGGCGCCTCTCGCGGAGGCTACGCCAGCAGCATAATTAGTAGTGAAGGGAGTAGTGACAGCAGCGAAGAAGAAATATCTATTCATGCGCAGGACGTGATGCAGTTCTCAGCTGCAGAGCTGCAGGACCAGATCGGACAGGAATTCGTGCAAGGTATCAACCCTTACGTGGAGCAACACATCGGGAATGAGGAAGATTTTTACGTCGAGGACTCGTCATCTGATGAGGGTGAAGGCACTGTTAAAAACGAGATAACGACCGAGGAGAAGGAGAAATCCCTCTCCGAGTGGGAAAACCCGTCATATCTAGTTAAAGACCTGGACACCGGTGAAAGTTACAGAGTGGAGGAGATCGATCAGCAATTCACACTAGTTACACTCGATTCGGTGGCTGCACAGCATGAACACAAGTAGGTGGGGAGAGCTGTGAGAGGAGGAAAACTTGTGCTCTTATTTCTAATTTTTTTTATTGCTATAATTTATAGAGAATTACAGCAGCAAGGAGAGGAGACAACAGAGTCCAGTTCGTCGTACTTATTGTCGCTGTATACAGCCGACGAGACGGCAGATATCGAGATCGAAGACGACCAGTCTGAAGCCATCAGCCCAAGCAGCTCGATGCGCGTTCGAAGTACCAACATGGCAGCGATCGAAGCGCCCAGCGATGAGTTACCGACTGGGCCGCCTGTGCAGTGCAATTTCTCGGGTTGTACCGAGACGCATCAGCGTGTCTCAGGCTACTGTGTCGACCACGAGATGATCGCCAAGGAACAAGAAGATTCACGTGCTCAAGCTCTCTATTTGATCCCAAGTGGCGCTCGAGCCGAGTTTATTAAGATTGGAAGCCACGGGTTCGCATACGATGTGTCGAATCGATTGTACACTGTGTACGCCATCGAAATGCGCTGTGTGCAGTCAGGTGCGACGTGGGTTATTTATCGTCGATACCAGCAATTCAAGGAGCTGAACGACCGCTTACGTCCCATGGGCGTACGTGTGCCACTGCTACCTCCCAAGAAACTCCTGGGCTCTTTTGAACCCGATTTTATCGCGAAACGACAAAGCGAGTTGTCCAATTGGCTCCGAAGTCTACTGAACTATGACCGAGTGGACCAGTCCGCTAAAAACCCTCATTTAGTGGAGGAAGTTCGCAAATTCCTGACCAGCAAGGCCGACCAACCACCTCTTCTACTGGACCGACTTCCGTTGAAGCGCTCACGGTTCTTTGGAGCGTCTTTAGCTGACGATGGGGATGATGAAGCCAGCCGAATATCTGCTGGCAAGCAGAACGTATCGCTACAAGATTTCCGGATGATTCAAGTGATTGGACGCGGATCTTTCGGCAAAGTGGTGCTGGTGGGTCACAAGTCTAGCAAGAAGCTGTACGCGATGAAGATGCTGTCCAAGGAGAACATTGTGAAGCGTAAACAAGTGGAACACACGCGTACAGAGCGACGCGTACTGGGCTGTACCCGACATCCGTTCATTGTGGGTCTGCATTACGCGTTCCAGACAGCACAGCGACTGTACTTTGTGCTGGATTACTGTCCTGGAGGCGAGCTGTTCTATCATTTATCGCGTATGAAGAAGCTGCCGGAACATATGGCGTGTTTCTACGCCGCGGAGATCACATTAGCGCTGGAACATCTACACGGACTGGGTGTCGTGTATCGAGATCTGAAGCCGGAGAACATCTTACTGACCAAAGATGGACACATCAAGTTGGCGGACTTTGGACTGGCAAAGGAAGGGATACGCGATGGCGCTAACGGTACCAACTCGCTGTGTGGCACACCCGAATATCTCCCTCCTGAGATCCTCGACCGACTAGGCCACGGAACTGCAGTGGATTGGTGGAATTTGGGCATGGTACTGTACGAGATGTTGACGGGATTGCCGCCGTGGTATACGAACGACCGCAAGAAACTGTTCGAACGTCTCCGATCCGCGAGACTGCACTTTCCGCCCTACGTTTCACGGCGAGCGGAAGCACTTATACGTCAGTTGTTGAATCGTAACCCGGCGGAACGTCTGGGCTCGAAAGGCGCGCACCACGTCAAGAGCCACCTCTTTTTCGAGAGTGTTGATTGGGCTAAACTGGCGAAGAAGCAGGTGCCTCCACCGTTTCGACCGTGCCACTCGGCGATGAATGACGGCGAAGCTCCACTGAATTTCGAGGCGGAGTTCACGCGTTTGCCGCTGCCGAGTGCGGAGAATACGGCCACAAGTCCACCGAATGGCCGATTGGGAGCGTTGGGCACGCGGTTACGACGAGACTCGGATACTTTTAAGGACTTTACGTATGAGAGTCCGGGATATCTGGAGTCGGTGGCGAAGAAAGAGGAAGCGTCAAGTTGAAAGTGGAAGAAAAGTAAATAACTAGCGAAGTGAAATTTAAAAAAAATATATTGCATGTTGTAATGGGGACTGGCGAAAACTGTAGACGAAAGACGATGACAAACAGACACGGGAGACTCACGATACTGCAACGTCGCGATGTGTTCATAAGTAAAATGAGTCATTTTTTGCTACCAAAATGGTCTCGTGATGACATCCATCTACATGTGAGTTTTTGTCACGTGCTTCTTCGTCGATGTGGTACCCTATGTTGAATACAGTGTGTTCTGCAAAGCACAACAAGGCACACACCGACTTCCTGGAAATTAAAACATAATTTTAGTCGTACACTTATGAAGAGCAGCGTTATGACTCATAACGCTTTGCTGCTCAAAACTTACATGCACCAAAGTTCCACCAACGTTGAAATCTTCGAAGTACCATATTAAACATGTACTGTACTGTACAGAAGTTTTTTGTTGCTGCCGGTTGGATCAGAGAATATTGGTCACTAATCGCTGGTAAAAATGGGCACACATGTGTATCATTTCTTTTACTAACGTTAAACGGCCACGGTAGCCATTGATGCCGTGCATGCAGAGAATCGGACCAGCATACCACGACCAGGCATCGTACACCACATTTATTAATATTAAAAAAGCATACCGGTACATGTACTGTACATCTAGCCTTCCCCAGTATGTAGACAATTAGACACCAATAACACGCTTCATTTTAATGAAGTTTTAAAATGCGATTGCACACAGAAGGCGGTCGATGTCTGTATCAAATTGAACCAAAATTATTGGAGTAAACAGCTTAATTAAAAATGCAGTTTCCCAAGAGCAATAGCCCAGTACATTAACATCGTAATGATGGAAAGATGACACTGTAGATCTCCAACATCTGAGGAAAGATCATCTCTTCACGTGTGCGCATTTTCGGCAGGATCGTCAAAATTGAGCAACTCGGCGTCAACATTCGCCACAAAGTGTCCCTGGGACATTTTGCAGATCGGGCGTCAGCTCGAAGCGTTATCGTTTTTGTGAAGCACCCAGGTTTTATTCAGTTTAAAAATGGTTTTTATCTGGGTATAATAAGCCAATTTGCTTTTTATTCAATTCTCCATCAGGGATTATTGTAAAAAGCCGTTACCAAACCCACCCTGTCCCCTCTCTGTCCAGCACTGCTCGTCGAATGCCAGCACTCATTTTCCAACCAGCTCGTTACAGGTCAAGTCGGTTCGAGCCAGAGCGGCAGATCCAGTCACAGCCATGGCGGCCGGGGACACGCTCACGCCGATGGAAACCATCGAGGGCACGCCCAAGAAGTCGTGCAAGCTGCAGCCGCCGAGTCTCAAGCGAATTGTGCTCAATCCGCGCGCATACCTGACGCCGTTCGTGGTCTTCATCATCTTCCACCATCTGCCCATGTTCCTGGCCTTTGGACTCATTGACAAGCCACACGAGGGCTACGAAAACTGCGACAGACTTAAGGACCTTTTCCGCTGGCTACACGTAGCCTTCCTCTTCCACCTGATCCTCGCTTGTATGATGTTCGCCAGCGTCGTCTACACGCTGTCTACTAAAGTGTACCACGAGCGTCGACCAGAGGTGCGTTCTACGGTCTTTTGGGCGTTTTTAGCCTATTCTAATACGGGTTTATTATGCAGGGCTGGCTAATCCTTACGATTTTCTTGGGTTATTGGGCAAATCTGGGCTGGACGCTTTATGGTGAGGCTGCTATGCGCACCGACACGAGTGTCTGTGGCGATACGAACTGGGAGGAGGTGCAAGACCGCGCCGACTCGATCGGCTACTTCCAGCACTTTGACTCTGTATTTACCGTGGCTATTATCATGGCGGGGGCCTGTATGTCGTACATGTGTGGTGTACACAGCGGAGATGATGCCGCAGAGGCCGAAAAGCGCTGGCAGAAGCGCTGTTTATGCTGCTTCCACACCTTCACGTGTCGTAAGACAATGGAATACGAAGGAGACGACGACGTGTTTGAGACTTTGGGGCGTGTATTGGGTAAATTCTTCGTGGTGCGGTACAAAACCAACCGGTACGAAGGTTTGAGCTTCACGGACTTGAAATTCAGCTTGGATTTGGTGTCCAAAGTGCAGAAGGAAGAGCGTGAACACGAAACTGAACGCAGAGCTGAACTCGCAGCTCAGGGGATCCCCACTGTACAGCATTTTGCCCCTGACGAAGAGGAGAAACGTCTCAGCGACTTGGCCTTCTATTGCAAGATGGCTATTGGCATCTACGGGTGGCCCATTTACGTATGGTACTCTCCGTGCTACTGGTTCCGGATCTTCGGGTGCTTTAAGAAACCCCTAGAGGAACAAGTGTTTGAGCACGACAATTTCTTACACGGTAATCGTGCCAGTTTCGTCAACTATACCGGTGTCAAGGACTCGGATCTTGTATACCTCAATTGCTACAACTTCGTGTTCCAAGCGCCGTATTGCATCGTCAAGGACAAGACACGCAAAGAACTCATCATCAGTGTGCGTGGCAGTATGTCCTTCTACGACTATGTGACGGACGGCTTGGCTCAGATTGTGCGTATGGAGCCTAGCGAACTCCCAGACGACATCCCGTACTCATTCGACACACGGACACACTACGGGATGCTACGAACAGCACGGCAGATATTCAAAGACCTCCAGGAGAGCACTCGTAAAGCTGTTTTTTGGGATTTTGCGATGGCCAAGTGCTCTGCTGGAGGCCTCATGGATGACGAGGACACAGACTGGAAAGTGGTGGTCTGTGGCCACTCCATGGGTGCTGGAGTGGCCTGTATCCTTGCCATTTTGTTGCGTAAAATGTTCCCCAACACAAAGGCCTTTTTGTATGCGTCACCGCCACTGTTTGACCCAGAGACGGCAGCTTGGACGAGGACGTTCGCGACGACTGCAGTGTATGGCGACGACATCGTGCCACGTCTTTCTATTGCGAACATGGCTCGACTACGTGACGAGATGGCGATTCACTACGATGCTGTGGCAAATGAACCCTTGTATAAAGTGAAGTACGGCGTGCATGGCAAGTTAAAAGATTTGAAAGAAGAGCGGCAACAACCAGTGGCAGCAGCTGGTCCAGAGTCAAGCAGTCGTGGAGTTCTTGGAGGACTCCCCACTGTGTTAGAAACGGCAAATTCGTTGAACACGGGTACGTCGACGATGATGGATACAAGTTCAAGTTCGTTCATCAATAACTCGTTTGTAGGCGGATCATTGACGCCAACAGACTTTGGAGCTTCAGGTGTTAACGTCATCAATCGCCCTTCACGCGACTTGAGTAACGCCACGATGATTACGCTGCCACAGGAAGACTCGAGTCAAGAAGTGGATGTGCCCGGTGAGATTGTCCATATTCAGACCGTGAAGATGGCACGTCGCTGTGGTTGCACAGTGTTTCTGGGCGAACAAAAGCTACAGTACACATTGCGCGAAGCGAGCTACTTCCGCCGTATTTGGGTCACGCCTCGCTCGGTGCAAGACCACTTGTTCCACCACTACGACCGTAAGATTCGCTATCTTGTGAACGATTGCATGGACTTTGAGACGCCTGTGGCCGCTCATCGCCCCAGCGCTAGCGCTAGTGCGAGAACGTCTTGGGTCGACGACTCGGAACGAGACAGTAAGGACAAGGCGCCCGGCACGCCCCAGACGGGTTACAAGGACATCGAAGCGGTCGTGTAAGAATCCTCCAAGGAAATTTAGAAGAGGAGTGTACAATAGTTAAACACTAGCCGAGCGCCGCCGCTACGCCGCGGTAATATAGGTTTTGGTCTAAAGTAGATGTTTGCTTTCCCGCCTCCGCTTGGGATAATTATTCCAAAAACTCTGAACCCCCATGTGCCTAAATCGACTTCTTAAATTTAATAAATTTGGGTTTCATGTAGACCAGTCGCTACAAAATGCTGAGGCCGTGCAATTATTTCTACAAAAGACTGTGCCCAGATCATACTTACGATGCTTAAAAAAATACTCTACATGTAGTCATCTTGACACAGTCTCTTTATTATTGTCGGCTATCACTGAATCACCTGCACTTCAAATAGCATGCCTACTAACGCCACACAATATATTTAGCTTAGCGTCGTGCTCGATATCATGGGCCGTTCCTGAGCCGCTATGAAACTTAGCTCGCATCAGCGCAAACGATAGTAATGACCTGTCCAGTATGTAGCGTTCATTTTGTGCTGATTCAGTATTAGCACTCGAATCTGTGCCAGTTATGATTGAAGCATTTGGATATTGTGTCGCAAGACGCCTTGCTGCTGTTGCTGGTAATTTTGTATTTGATAGTTTAACGATGATTCCATAATTATTGGACGTCATTTACACTGTAGGTTCCAAGTTTATTAGCGTTTCATTATGGGGTCTACTTAACCAACTATATATCACACCTCTCGTGTTTTGTTGTTGTATTGCCGCTCCATTTATAATCGTATCCTACGCCCCTGTCGACAACACGTCCGCCAGTTAAGTAGTATCGGATTTTGCTGTCTAAGCAACTCGTAGAAAACAATGGTTTACAGCAGTAACACATATGAGTTCATTTTGTCAAGTGACTACGCTTATTAACAAAGCGTAATTTGGAAATATTTCTACAACAAAACAGTAACAATAGCCATTGTAGCTTGCAACCCTATTAAGTACATACTATTACCTATATTTATAGTATGCCCTTGAAAACACGCATTCCTACGTGTAGGTTAAGCACCTCGCAGCATTGGAAGTATCTTTAGGGGCTATTTCATTTGAGAATATGTAGCTCTTTCTGTTTAGCACTCAAATATTAAAAGCAACATGTATTAATATTATTAAAATGGTAAATATTATACTTCGTAATATTAAAACGATGCCGCCTTCGGATAATGGATAGTCTTGTGCAAATCTCCACATGTGCTCTGTGAACCACATGAATTTACTGATGTAAGCTACATAATTCCGTTTTAACCAATCGAAGCCGCCTTCGCTCCGCTCGACAGCCAATGAGAATGCTCAAAAACCTGAGCGTTTCGTGTGACGGACGGACAGACACCGTGCTAGCCTTGATACTTTAGGACTAGCGGTCTGGGCGTCCGCTCCGCAGACGCTAGGGCATGGTTGGTTGGTGTAGAAAAGGTTGACCACCTCCGCTGCGCTGCGGTGTGCTTAGAGTTTCTACTTAGAGCAAAGCTACATATAACATATGTATACGATGATCTACGTATATTACGTTCCAAAACAACACCGCACACAGTATCCTTAGTGCTCACATGTTATGGTAGACACGACCAGGATTTAACGTGATCTGCAAGATGAGCACCATCTTACCCGAGAAGGTTTTGTCTGTAATCTCATTTGAGCACATAGCTCCCAAAATAACACGAATCGGAGGGGCCCGTGGCTGCAAATGGAATATATGCTGTTCAGAAGACATGTGAGTATCAGTGATGATCCCAAATAGGCATGGATCGGTGAGGAATCCCAGTGTAGCTGGAGTAAATACGCCTACTCAAACATAATATCATCTGTCACGTCATCGCCGTGAGACAGACGACACCATATCATTGACTGTGACGGTCTATTAGAGCAAGATTAGGTCAGTTCCTCGCGCGAAGTAGCTTTAGGACAGGTAGTTTTTGCCGATGGTCGCCACAAACACCAATAGTATGCCTTGCATTTGTTCCGCTGAGCTCTTTATGATATTACTGAAGGGTATTTCCACTATCCTTCGCATGCATTGATCTTACTTGCATAGCTGACGCACTTACTGACTTATTTGCATAGCTACTGACCGACAGAGTGGCGTAGATCCTTATCGAGTGAAATTTACTGGCTCCTATATGTATGCCAAACACACAAAGCCACATGGCTGTAGATAGATCATCATATTGTAGTGATGTTTAGACTTAATCTGAAAAGTAGCTCATGTACATTATATGAAGTACTTTTGCTGCCTACTTATCAACTCGGCGTGCTATTTGATATGTCCGTGCATATATTGCGAGGTCGTTAATGAGTGTATACCACGCGCTCGTGATATCTAAAACCTATGTATCGGGTCACTGTCGCTCTCTCGGTACATTTGCGTCGTCGTGCTGGGTTACTGTGCTTACGCTTCTGATGTATCAGTCTATGTGACCAAGCAGGTCACTAACTGGGCACAGGTCATACTGCAGCGATACTGGCAAGCTGACCGCGCGTCTGTCACTTGTATTCAACGCAGTATCTACGCGCGCGGCGGGTACACCTTATAACCACCCGCAACTGAGCCGAGCTCTTATCTCGACCATTATGGACAGGGCACTAAAGTATAGTACTGCGTACAGACACATCGGCCTGTCAAGCACACCTGGTCAACACTACCGCACACTTCCTCACGTCCATGTAGACAGCAACTTATTTTTCGCGCGTAGTGCTAACTCAATACTGTATATTTAATTTCGAGCGCGCATTAGTGTGATATACGCTATGAGCGTTGGTGGTACATATAGCAAGATTTAGCTAGTGTCCGAATGAGTGCCGTCTACGGTGACGCGTATGCAGATAGGGACGGCCAGCTTGCAGATGTACACAGTAGATACCGTGCGCTAAATATTATTTGAAACGCGCTACGCTATTTATATGAGTCAAAACTACTGACTGTGCCATAGGCAGATTACCGTATGTGCGGCCCCAAACCTCGCACTGTAGGCCGGTATATTAAATACAAAAATGAATGGGAAAATGGGGGCATAAAAGAGTATATTTACCAACTACTTGCTCTTCTGCTGCTTCTTTTGCTCGATATACTTGGCGTTTCGGGCGGTCGGCTTGCGAGGTCGGCTGTGCCTCTTCTACTTCTAAGGGTATCAGTCAGGGCCCATCGCCTTCTTGACGCTCGCCAGGCTTTCCTGGCGGCGCACTTCGGACGATCCAGGTGCCGATTTTTTTCTCCCAGAACGTAACCGCTTTTGGGCCGTTCTTGCAGGCAATACAGCGCCGCACGATGTCCCGTCCGTTGATTGTACGAAACGCGTAGCCACACTGCAGCTACCTGCAGCAGATGCAGTGTGCCCGGGAATCCGGCGTAGACCGCTGCGGGTTCAGCAGAAGCGTGTCAATCTTCGCCTCGCATTGCTTGCACGTAGGGCCCACCATTTTGCAAACTGTGAGTAAGTTAGCAAAATATATTGTTACTTGCGTCCAAATATTAGCCAATAGCACGGTACTGTAAGGCTGGTATTTATTATTGGGCAAAATATTAACATGTTTTAAAATATTACAATTTGGCTTTCCTATAATATATTATTATCAGATTTTTAAGCAAATACATACTTTACATGCAATATAAATTGACTAAAACAACTATCTATCGTGCGCGCATGCATTCGTCGGGTGGGGTGCACGGGAGCAGATAGCGCAATGAGCGTGCAGCCGCGCCCCTTCATTGCACGGTGGCAGTGGTGAGTGCCAAGTGAAGTAAGAAAGATATATATTCGCAAAGTCCCTACAAAAAGCGCTGGTCGTGAAGCCTACTTTAATATTAAAAATACTATCGTCTCCACTTTAATGAGTGTGTGTGGAAAATAGGATCGCCGAGCTCTTACAAATGCGGCCTGTCAAGCCTATATTAATATCGTCTTTACTTTGAAAAGTGTGTGGAAAAAAGCATCCCAGAGCTCTTACAAAATACTGGTCTGTGAAGTCTACATTAATAATAATAAATATCTCTATTTGCAGAGCTCTTAGAAAATAAAGTGGTTACTGTGCCCGATTTTCAGTACTTACGACAGGTTTTGCGTAGCTAAATGTCAGTAATCAAGTATCTGCGCAGCTCGCCTGGCTGTTTGCAACCAATCGGTGCGTTTCGTGCTCGGTAAAAATGTTTGCATCACGTCCAATCGGAGGAGCGAGAGACGGTCTGATCGTGCGACAGATCCAGTCAGTGTCGCAGGTCGGCAGGTATTGCCCAATCAGGGCGCGAGTTAATTGTGTCACGCTTTTGGATATATTTGTAATTTTTGCATAGTTAGGTCGAGTCAGAAAGGTCGGCGCGGTCGGTAAGATGGGACGAAACTGTATTAGACAGGCCGGGTGTAGCCATGCGAAAGGGTAGGAAAAAGCTGAAAGAGAGGAAAGCGACGGACTGATTGACAGACGGACGGACGGACGGACAGGCTGCAAGGTTAGGGAGCGGAAAACTAGCGCTCTGGGCGCCCGCTCCGCGGACGCTAGGGCATGGTTGGCTGGTGTGGTGTGAGCGGCCCGCCTCCGCTGCGCTGCGGTGGGCTTAGAATATCTACTTAGAGCGAGGCTACAGATAATATATGTATACTGTGATCTAGTTATGCTACGTTCCAAAACAACAACGCACACAATATTCTCAGTGCTCACATGCTATGGTAAACATGACCAGGATTTAACGTTATCTGCAAGATGAGCACCATCTTACCCGGGAAGGTTTTGGCTATGATCCCGTTTGAACGTATAGCTCCTAAAACAACACGAATCAGAGGTGCGCGTGGTAGCAGATGTAATATATGCTGTGCGGAAGACGGGTCAGTACCAATGATGATCCCAAATTGGCATAGATAGGTGAAGAATCCCAGTGAAGCTGGAGTAAATACGCCTACTCAAACATATTACCATCCGCACGTCATCGCCGTGAGGCAGTCGACACGATATCTTTGATTGCGACGGTCTATTAGAGCAAGGTTTGTTCGGCT